CCTCCATGCAGTTCCCGCTATCTAGACGGAGTCAGTAAGGCAGAGTCATGGCCCGAGAAGCCCTGTGGTGGGCAGACTAATGAGCCCCAAGGAGGGCCACATCCCCACCGCTAGGATTTGTGGGTATTTTACCTTATATGGCCAACGGGGCTTTGAAGATATGATTCGACCTTGAGAGGGAAAGATTATCCTGGATTAACCAGGTGGGCTGGTTTGAATCACAGGATTCCTTAAACGCAGACCACCAGGCAGGTGGAAAAGGTGGGTCAGAAAGATGTGATGTGAGAAGGACGCCACCCACCATGCTGGTGGGGACGCTGGAGGAAGAGGGCTGACCTCAGTGAGCATAGGGCCAGGGTTGTGCCTACAGCCAGGGAGAAATCAGGAGGCTCATTGACCAGCCGCCTCCCTCTGGCTTCTGCTAACAACCCAAATGAGCAGGAAACCGAGTCTCAAGAAATGCAGCCTGCTGACCCCCGGGTCTCCATCAAGTAAGCGGGGACTTGTGAGTGGCAGCTTTCTAAGAGAATAAACCCGTGCTTCTCTATGCCACTATATTGAGAGGATTTGCTATGCTGCAACAGAAGGTGTTTTTATTGTCTCCCCTCGCCACCGCGGACATGAGGCCAAGGTCACACTGTAAACTCACGGGTTTCATTTCTCGACTTACAAGCCGTCCATCGGGAGGAAACCAGTTTATTTAATTTATATAGAAACGAGGAGGGAAAATACTGTAGAGGGTTAACTTTTCTCGATGGCTAAGCACTCAGTTAAGTAAATTACGTTGACCCTGATGTTTTCTCACTAATTACTTAGTCATAGAGAAAAGTTAAGACTTTTAGAGTATTTTCTTGCTTTACTATATAAAGTATTAAAAGCAACCTTCTTAATAAGCAACTCGACACTGGTATCCCCTCTGCCAGTCCCATTACAAAGAAGAGCTGGCTACCCAATGACTTGTTCCTCCCCTCCCTCCATCACCAGAATCCTATGTGTTTCCACCATGGTAACCTACAAAGGATGGATGGATACTCCACAATCATCCTGAGGAAACTAGCTATTAGCTTCTGCTCTGATTTCAAAGCATAATCAACTTCATTTGCTCATTTCCTGAGGACATACATCCAAGGCCCACTTGTAGGAACAAAGGGAGGTCAAAGAAACAAACACTAGGACACAATCCCTCCACAGAGAGGACTTTTAAATACATTCCACTGCAGTGCAAAGTCAGAATAAAACCAGGGCCAGAAACAATAGTGGTTATGTGATGTTGAGAGACTAAAAAAGCGCTGGGGACTTGCCATCTAGGAAGACGCTTTTTTTGTTTTTGTTTTTTTAAAGGTAGCCTGCAAGCCAAAAATGAAAGTCTGAAATTTAATTGATGCAGCATTAATTTTGAAGGAAGCTATAAAGAGCTTTATATTGTTTCAACAAGTTTAAACATTGACAAGTGGCATTTACATAGAAACTCTGGCCACGGACTCTTACTTACTTACTCACTGAAAGGGTCCCAACTAGGCAGGAAACTTCAGTAGCCAGTTTTGAATTCATTATTCAAATTAGTTAAGTCTTCCTGTTTTTTCAAATACTCAAAAGTTTAGGTTCGCTGGCAATAGATGTAATACTTAGATTATCATCCTTAGTATTTTCTTCAAACACCCCTCAGCCCATTAGGGAAAACACGTGAACTTTACGTTGAAGTCCTGACCTGGCCCATAGGGTCTCTGAAAATGCAAGCAGTGAATAGGAGACCCTGGTGGAGTGGGGGGGGGGTCCCCTAAAACAAAGAAGAGACAAGAAGAGAGGAAAGAAGGAAGAACTCGTGTGTCTGCGGAGCTACGTTGTGGCACTGAGCCCAGGCACGCCTGGGGAGACCTTGCCTGGCCTTGCTGATGCACAGGCCTTCTAGTCTGTGAACCAACACATTCTACTGTCTATGTCCGCTTGCTTGTGGGGCACTTGGCTTTGGCAGCCACAGGGGAGCAGGACCGATGTCTTAAAATCTTTTGTTCTCCAAACCATTCATCTCAAACAGCATTTACTCAATGCCTATTATGTGTCTAAGCCAAAGGCCAGGAAGATTCACTGGTAAAAAGTCATTTAACAAGTTCTTCCTGCGGGCCATGCCAAGTAGGATTAGTGCTTCAGAAGACCTGGCCTCCATCACCCCCAAAGGAAACTACAGAGACATTTCTCTTGGAGGGAAACCACAAAGCATTGGAAAGGATCACCAGGAAATGGCGTAGAATCGCCAGTCTAGCGGGGGTCTTTACACGCACACCTCCTCCTCTTCGTCCTGAAATGATGAAGCCTAAAGATTGGGCATCTCACCAATCATGCTTAAAAGATCTGCTTTTGCATATGTGCAAATGTGCTTGGCACAATGGATGAATGTATGGATTGTGATCAGAGATTTAGGACACCCCCCCCAATAAAAGTACTTAATAAAAAAATAAATAAGACATCACCATCAAGTGAGATTCAGACCAAATATGCCAGGATGGCTGACTAGTAGAAAAACAATCTATGTGATTCAGCACATCCACAAAACAAAGAAGAACCCTATGATTGTTTAATGGAGGCAGAGAAAGCATTTGATAAAATGCAGTATCTGTTCGTATGTATTCCTGAAGAAAAAAAAAACCCTCAATAAAAAAGGTATAGCACATAAAAAAAAAAAAAAAGATCTGCTTTCAAACGTGCTAAGAAATGCTTCTGCTTCGCAAACTTTCTTAGTTGGCTCATTCGGAGATTTACAGATTCTGAGAGGTGCGTTCAGAGGGCCCGAGGGACTTTGCACAGAGGCAGCAAAGCGTGAGTTCAAAGAACAGAAATGGTTCTGCAGGATGGAATAGAAAGTACAGGAACACAAACATTCCGGAATTCAGGACATGATGTGCAGAATCGTGTATGCCTCTTTCATTCAACCCAGGATTTTAATACTGTGGACAACTCTGAATGGAGGAATCAATTAGAAAGGAATCAATATGTGTTCTGGAAGGGGCCAAGGAGAATCAGAGAAGAGACTCAGCGAGCAGTTTTGGCCTTCTGTCTGGCTCTTACAGAATGATCCTAGTTGTCTGTCCTCTGGAGGGTGTTTAAGAACAGACATCCACTCTGGACTTTCAGAGGGTACATGCCATCCTGAGTCTTTTCCACAAGCTGGGACAGAACGAACTCCAATAAGGAGGCCAAAGAGAACAAGCTCTTTCTGCATTAAATATTCCTTCCCAGCAGGCTGCTTCGATGTCAGGAAAAAATCTTGCAGGAGAGTCAAACTTTGACTCCAGGAGGCTTTGCTCCATGAGCCAGCGTGTTCTCTCAGGGCAGATTCCGGGCGACAAGGAAGCATCTGTCTCCTCTCAGCACACTTACCCTATCTTTACCAGATGTTCTGGCTCGGAGCCAGCAACAAACAGAGCCCTTAATTCCCTTTGACTCAAAGGTAGTTAATGACTCTCCCCCACCAATTTACATCTTGCCAAGCGTGCACATCTGAAAATCCTGGGGATAGCTTCATGTTTCACCTATTCAAGAAATACACGCATACTGGAACTGCAAGTTAGTGTATGCGATCTTCCTTTATGGACTTTGAAGTGGGAGATAAAACAGATGAAAAGATTCTCTACATAAATTGAAATTGGACTCTTATCTTTTCGACTGGCAAAAAAAAGAGAAAACGTTCCCATCCATCCACTGGGTGATGAAATAGGCAAAACATACTTTTGTAACTGGTTGTTAAGAAATAAAATAGACAAAAAAAAAAAAAGAAATAAAATAGACAAGAACAATTTCTCTGGAGAACACTCTCTATTAAAATTAAAAATGCACAAGTACTTTGACTTAGCAATTGCATGCCCGGGAGCCTGGCCTATGGACGTATCTGCAAACCATCTACATGGGTTTCTATTATGAAATTTATAGAAAGAAAAGAGAAATCATCAAATCACAGTACTTTCACATGATCAAACTCAAAAACCCAAGCTCATCACCACCGAGTCCATTTGGGTTTCACTGGGAACAGGGAGGACTGCCCCTGGGGTTTTGAGAGTCTGACTCTCTCAGGGCGTGGAAAGCCTCCTCCTCCTCCTTTGGACAGGCTGAGGTTTTCAAATTGTTGGCCTAGCAGCCCAACTCCTAGTCCACAAAGCCACCAGAGAGCCGCGCTAGGATACCAAAAAGCTTTTAAAAGGAATAGGTAGATAAATACATGCTGGCCTGAGCAAAGAGCTCCAAATGAAAAATAAGTTGTAGAAGTATGTATACATATCTTTAAAACAGTAAGCATAAATGGCTCCCGTCAGTTAAAAAATACAGAAATGTATAAAAACAAGTAACAGCAACAACGTCAACAAAACTATAAAGTTACTAGAATACTTCAAAGCTAACTTTTGGGATAGAGAAACTTCTTTAAAGCATTGAGACTCCTTACAAATCCGGCTAGACCACAGCATGTACACGGGTACAGCTAAAAGCTGGGAACACAGGGAATCCAGGACAGATAAGCCCTCAGGACAATGAGAGTAGCGATACCAGGAGGGGAAGGGGAAGGTGGGGGAAGACAGGGGGAACCAATCACAATGATATAACCCCCTCCCAGGGGGACGGACAACAGAAAAGTGGGTGAAGGGAGACATTGGTCAGTGTAAGACATACAAAAATAATTATAAATTATCAAGGGTTCATGGGGGCGTGGAAGAGGGAGGGGAAAATGAGGAGCTGATATCAAGGGCTCAAGTAGAAAGAAAGTTTTTTGAAAATTATGATGGCAACAAATGTACAAATGTGCTTGACATAATGGATGGATGGATGGATTGTGATTAGAGCTGTATGAGCCCCCAATTAAATGATTTAAAAAATCAATAAAGGGTTGAGACCCACAGGAAAACATGATTGTGTATACGGCATCAAAGCAAAGGCCATTCATCACATTTCTCCTTGAGGCCTTGAGGCCTCGCTGAGATGACTGGGTACAGGAGTCTAGGTGAACTGTCACTTACTTGTTGTTTAAGGCGCCCCCAAGGTCACAGTCACAAGGTCGACATCCATCCAAATCATTGCTTAACCCCCAGTTCTCTGGCTGCAGAATAAAAGATTAAACGTCTAAAGGTAGGTTCCTGTAGTTACACAATAGACCCAGTGAGAAACAAGCTACGGCGTGCGTTGATTATTCCATCATTCATTTTCACCGTCAAAGCAGAAAGCTAACAAACGGGACGGTTTCTCTGAAATAAAGAAACCCACACTGTGGGTCCCTAGAGTCAGATCAGCTTATGCATAACCACCTGAAAATGCTAGATCACAGAGTAATCGGTTTGCCCTGCACACAGCCCTCTTTTGATCATTCCCATGAGCAAGACATCAAGATACCGCTTTTCGTCATTCAAATTAAACCCACAGTTACAAATATTTTGGCAAATAGTTGGCAGATGTGTACTCTCCTAATCCAGTCTGTCACAAGCACCTTGGAGGAAAACCCTGTAGAAGCTACCTCGGCGGAAACACAACATAAACCCAGAGCCATTCTTACAAATGGAAGGTGAGAGATTACTGGGTTTTGGCAGCCTCGAAGCCAGAAATAACAAGAAACGAGGCAGAATCTGCACAAGGACAGAGATCTCTCTGCGCTCAACTCAAAGGCAAGGAGTTTATTTAGTTCCTTACCGGTTTTCATGAGCAGATAGAAGGAGCCCTTGTGGAGCAGTGGTTATGCCTTGGGCTGCTAACCGTCCCTTAAGGTCAGCAGTTCAAAACTGCCAGTGGCTCCAAAGGAGAAAGAGGAGGCTTTCGACTCTCATAGAGAGTTACAGTTTCGGAAACACACAGGGGCAGCTCCGCCCTGGCATATCGGATGCTATGGGGGCCCTGACTCAATGGCAGTCAGCGGAGTTGAGTTGAATGAGCAGGATCACCAATTTAAATTGGACTTCCAGGAATCTATTTTAAGACTCTCAGCAGGATGGAGATGAGGAAAATATCCCCATTTACTAGGCACGAAGCATCAATTGGGACCAATGACTAGTTTCCCCTCCAAGTAAAAAAGCAATACGAAAATGGTATGAGAGAGAGAGAAAGAGAGATCGTTTTCAGCGGCTCCCATAACTACTCCCCCCAGAAGACTCCTGTGACTACTTGGGCGGATTTCCTTCCAGAGTTTGTGTTTTTGATGCCTATTTCCCACCTCCAGACTATCAAGCAACTAATGCATCCTGTGCTTGGCTTGTTTTGCTTTTCTCCCTTCCCATCACGGCATAAGCATTTCCTCATGTTACGGCCATTGTCGATGGCAACCAAACTGCACATTGTAAAGAGGGGCCCAGATTGACTATTTTCCCAATGTTGTTCCCAAGCCTTTCACAAGGAACCTTCTGCTGATTACATCATCTTTGTCCAATTTCCCCGGTTCAGGATGACGGCATGCCAGGAGGGGATGAGTGGGTCACAGGGGAGTGCACATTCCCCCAGTTACTACGATGTCTCAACCAAGCGCTCCCTCCGAGGGCCAAACCGACCAGCAGAGCGCAGTGTGCCATCTCGAACGTTAAACAGAATTTTAAGAAGGCTTTGCCCGTTTATCTGTAAAACTGGCATGCCACTGTGGTTTTCAGTAGCCTTTCTAACAGTGATGGTGAATATTTTGTCCCATGATGAATCAGCAGGCCCTGTCTATGGATTTCGACTCGTCTCCGAACAGGGAGGCTAGAACCCAGTGGCAGGATGCAGCCTCTATTCAAAGCATGACTACCTGGCCCAGGTGATGAGGGTTTACTCACCAGACACTGCTGGCAATGCTGTCCTGTCACCAGCCGCTTACAGTAGCAGGAGCCAGTCTCCGAATCACAAGGATTTCCTCCAGGTATTGTCCCCAGGGGGTTGCACGCACAAGCTTTATTGAAGACAAAAAGAAGGTGGGGAAACGCCAGCCACGGGAGTGGGAAGTAGTGGAATTGCACAGTCAAATGGTTTATCCATATCCAACGATGTGAGAGAGTTACACACACACCCCCAACGAGTCTATCCCAGGGCCCGCAGCCAAACGTACTTACATTTACAACCGTATGGATCTTCTGCACTGAGGCCATAGAAGCCTTCTTTGCAAATTTCACAGTGCTCTCCTTCCACGTATAATTTACACCGGCACTGACCAGCAATGAGGCCCACAGAAAAATCGGTGTAGCTGTCACAAATCCCCCCGTTCTGAGAACCAGCTGGGTCACAGGTACAGTCTAAGGATGGAAAGCACCAGGTTAACACCACCAGGAAACACGTGTGAGACAGAGAGCCCGTTACTAAAGGAGGCCTGACTACCAAACACATTCCACTCCCAGAACACCACGCAGCAAGTAGAATGAC